TCGAGTTGCAACCAGAGTCACGGAACGGATTAAGTTCATAACTAGAGGTACCACTGTATATATTTTTAAATAATGCAATAAAAAAGAAGGGCATGCAATGCTGTCCTTTATTCCTGCTCAAATAATTTATATTAACTTGTAGCAGGAAGACTTTTTACCTAGTGTATCAGAACACTATTGTTCCTGTACAGAGGGCAAAACAGGGTGGCACAATTCTGAAATACAAGAGCAAGATGCTTTCCTGCCCCAGCAGTCATTGGCATTTCCACCAAAGGAAGAAGGAGGATTCAGTGCCTGCTTTGTTTGTGGTTTTTCTGTTGCTGATTTTTTTATCTAGGGGTTGGTGAATCTGCTCTTGACAAGGTTGAAACAATATAACTCTGATTTATTATCACAATTATGGTTTATTATGTCTTGAACTTCATTTTTCCCAACTTGTCCAAATGATAAAATTGAGACCTAGGTGTCTTAGAGTCTTATAGTTTATAATTCTATTTATTAGAAAAATTAAAAACATTTTAAATGCAAAGAGAAAAAATAATTATTGTTTGATTAAATTATACTTTTATTTTTAATAAATACACTAACCATGATAATTGTGTGAGTAAATCAAATACATATTGCATTTGTGTTCTTAAAATAACATAGTGAGATTAGTAAAGGGTGGTAGAAAAAAGGAATATTGGATATAGTTCAGTTTTTTTGAAAATATTTTTTTCCCCCAAAAAGTAAAACCCATAGGGGAAACAAATTCTCCTCATGGATTGAATATTTCCAGAAATACATCTCTAGTGGTCCCTAAGTTTTGGATCCCAGACTTTGTAGGCAGGCAAAAGATCCTATAATTTGAATTCAAAATATTTCCTTGATAATTATTTGCAGTACTACATTAATAGTACTTTTTTTATATGAGTGATGTGGGAGAAGAATTTCAGAGTAAATTATTTGGTTTACTTAGATTTATTACAATTCTTTACACTGAAATGCTTCACATGGTTTGTTAGTATATGGATTTGAACTGCACACTTTTTCTTTATTCTTCAGAACTATACACTTCATTGCATTGTACATTCTAACATTTGCTGGAAATGTTGAATCATTTGTTTACACACAACTATAATCTCTTATTAATTAATTTTCAGATACATACTCCATGGTGCATTGTACAATCTATCTGATATTCTCCAGAAAACCTTTGAATTCTTGGCCAATAATATAGCATTGCCTTCACACAAAACTACACATGCATTCAGGTCCCTGACCAACACACTTTTAATGTCACATGCATTCCTTTAACATTTATCCATAAATACAGTGAACAACCAAGTGAACATCTTCCTGCTCAGAACTGAATGATTCACTAAGCATTCAATTATTCTCTTACATAATTTCTTTCCATCGCACACCACTTTTACCTTGTTCAGGATTCATGCAAATTATTCTGTCATCAAGACTATTCATGTTACTATATACTTTTTCTAATCAAGAAATGTACAGTAAATTTTCACGAATTCATACATTCCTCAATGACCAGCTAACGAGCAAAGATCTCATCTCTACATTTCTTGTTAGCATAAAACCATACTGCATTTCTCAGATTTTGTTCATTGTCCCCTCAGTTATCTTTTCAATCAAAATTCTTCCAAACACCTTCACATGCATACTGAAACTAATGCTCTGGTAGTTTTGCCATTCACTCCATTTACCTTTTTTTTTATAGGGAAAGAAAAATGACATTCTTCCAACATTAAGCTTAAATGCAATTTTCACATAAATGTTTAACATTGCACAACCATTTCATAAGTAAACCACTCCATATTTTAAGATTTTCCAGTTATACCATCTCTACCTACAGTTTACCATTTTTCAATATTCTCACAGCATTTATTACTTCATTTTCAACATTTATTTTCTTAGATACTTACATGTATAGCCTTCATTTCAACTTTCATTTTGACTTATTAATATTATTTCCATACAAATTTTTAAATACTCTTTCCAGTATTAAATATATGAATTCTACTGAAGGCTTCTTGTTTAGATTTTTTCACCCTCTTCCAAAGCAATTTTTATTGTTCCATTGTCAAAATTGCTCTATACTTTATCTGCCTATTTAACTCATAACCATTCATTGCTCTCTTTTAATCCATTCTTTGGACCTGTTTTTTTTTTTATTACTATACACATTATAAAATGTCTTTGTCTCATACTCATTTTATGCAGCATTCTTTTAATTTTTTTTCATTGACAGGCTTTTCACTTCATCACTTCATCAAGGATCCTCTTTCATACTTTTGATTATTGTAATTCTGAATGCTTTGATGGTACCTTGTAACATTTTTCATTCTATTCAAAGTAGCTTCTGTATTCTTTTTCTTTTTGTTCATTCATTCTTGTGAGAGATTAATCTGTCTTCCAAAATTGTTCCGTATAGGGCTCATATTTTCTGTTCCTGCAGACACTTTATTTTAACGCTAGTTTTTAACTTCTCTCCTTTTCTATTATATCCATATATATATATTTTGCAAAGATTCAGTTTTAACGCTACCAGACAATGATCTGTCCTACATTCAGAACCTTTTATCACCCTTGTGGCCTTCACTAACTTTCTAAATTTTTCATCATAAAATCAGCCATGCTTTTCTATTCAATCCTTTGTCTTTTGTACACATGAATAAATTTATGCCTGAACCATGTATTGAAAACATTTTTCTAAGCAAATACATATCAATCACCATTCTTATTCATTCTTGGGATTCCACATGACCCAATCACTGTTATCACTGTTCACTTCATATGCAATTGTCATCATCCTATGAATTCTTATTTTAATGTACATCCATAGCAACCTAGATACCACCAATTCATACTATCTTATATAATTTTAGCCCTTTCATTCATAATTAAATCTGCACTTAACTCACATGCATGACATCTAGTCCAAGCCACCTTCATTCACATCTACTCTTTTGTTGGATAAGAATAAGGTGACTAGACTCTATTCCATTCTCAGCCCAACATACCTCACATGGTTGTCATTGTGGGGAAAAACAGGAAGAGCGTACACTATGTACACCACCTTGAGTTCCTGAATGAAAAGGCAGAATATTATTCTCACAAATAAACATACAACATATACATACATACATATATACATATATATTTGCTTTCATTTTATTTGTTTATGATCTTTGCCATCTATCTTCTTACATTCCAACTTGCAATCTTCCATATACCATTATTGTTAACAAATGGTCCATGAATATTAATCTCTGCCGCTTATCATGGCTTTGGTCAATTGAGGTTTCTGCATAAACTTTTTTGGTATGATAAAGAGTAAACTAGGTGATCAGATTTAGTTCAGGTCATGCCACAGGCAACATTCTGTGCTAATGGTAAGGACACAATGCTGGTCAGTTTTAGCACATTTTGGCCACTTTCTATGCAACCCAGGATATCTAAACTGAAGATTATCTTTGCAAGCCAACTTAATATTGCCTACATCCAACTAACTAGAAGATTCATGCAATATATTGACATACTAAGTGTACTGGTACTTCTTGGATAATTATTGTATTGTTATACTTAGATTATCATAAAATGTAAAATCTGGGAAGTAGCATCATAAGTGATTTATATGATGTTCTTAATTTTTCCCCAATTAGGAAGTTCTCACTGGAGTGGTGGTCATAACAAGTAAAGATTCGATCCAGCATCAGGGAATCTCATTAACAATGGAAGGATCTGTAAACCTGCAGCTCAGTGCCAAAAGCGTTGGTGTGTTTGAAGCATTCTACAATTCTGTTAAGGTACAAATAATAAAAATCATGGCTTATGGAACACTTGTCTAAGAGTATTCTTTATATGAGAAGAATATAAATAATATGATATATAATAGGGAGGCTGGACCTATTAGATCGGTCCACCCTTGGCAACTGATGGATCCCGCAAGGGTTCCAGAGGGAGCTGGGGGTTGTTCCTGACAGTCTGCTACATGGTCCGGTGAATGCCTTAGTCACCACTTGGAATGAGAGGGCGGCTGTGACCTTGGATTGGATTGTGCCATGTGACCTCTCCCTTCCCATGGATCCTGTCACTCTCCATGGTTTACGGAGGAGCTGAGGGAGATGAAATGGGAGAAGAGACATCTAGAGTGCTACTGGAGTTCAACAGAGGATGAACTCAACCGACCTGTAAGCAAAAGTGACTGCTATTCAATTATTCTATAGACTTTGCAAATAAAGGTAAGTGGCTAGGAAACCATTTGGAAAGTTTCACAGATATTGGAGGCTCTCTGCTACCTGTTCTTGTCTTTCATGTGTTGAAAAGGAGGAAGTGATAACCAGAGCAGGTGGAAGCAGCTTAGTAGAGCATGTAAGCATTTGGAATGACTGCCCTGAGTTTAACATAATCTATATTGCTCAAGCCAGTATCTAGTGTTGTTTGCAACTGAGTGTACACTATACTTTTGTAACCTCAAAAAGTTGAACCTGAATAAACAAGATTGCTGCTCTGTTTCTTAGGATACCTTTAAAAATGTGCATTTTCAGAAATCCATAAACTTTTGCTTGCAACCAAAAATGAAGGACAATTAACATTTAGTCTTTCCTAAATTTTGTGTATTGTTTTTTGTTTTTGCAGCCTATCCAACTGATTAATAATACGGTAGAAATGGTAAAATCTGGAAAACTGCCTAGTGGTAAAACAGAAATTCCTTTTGAGTTTCCACTGCAAGTAAAAGGAAGCAAAATTCTTTATGAAACTTACCATGGAGTTTTTGTCAATATCCAGGTGAGAACAGTTGTTAGTCTAAGAAAACTTTGCTGTTTATGGAGAATATACACCATTGCTATTATTTTTTTAAGATTAAGCCAAAGAAGTTCATGAGAAAGGAAGAGAAAGAAAGAAAGAAAGAAAGAAAGAAAGAAAGAAAGAAAGAAAGAAAAAAGAAAGAAAGAAAGAAAGAAAAAGAATTGTCTGATGGCATGAGATCTTTGGCCTATTTCTTGATATGTATTTAAAAATCACAGAAGAAGTATGAAAAACTGCACCTTCAAATATTTTCCTCATATTCCCATTACTTAAAATGAAGCAAACTAAAGATCCTGGAAAATCAGGAGAATATGTAAGAGGAAGTTCTTAACAGAAATGTACAAAGCTTTTAGACAGTCTGTTTTTTTTTTAATGAGATTCATCTAACATAGGCTCAGACTTTACAAACCAGGCATCTTCCTGCAAGCTACAGTATAACACAACCAAAGCTGTCTGGCATAAACTTTTAATTCACAATTGATATGGCTCAGTGTCCTGATACCTAACCTGTTTTTATTGCTTAAACATATGGGAGTTTTAATCAACAAAACTCACTGGGATTTATGACAGAGACTTCCACTGAGCTAATGATTGTACTGCAGAAATTTGTGTCAAAAACCAATTTGCTTCACTTCCTTTTGCAGGTTGCTCAATCTATCCAAGACAATAATGTACCTAATCTTATGAAAAACACTATGCTTACCCTTCTTCCTTGCAATACTTTCTTTCTAATCTTGAATAAAATGGCTTTATTATTACTATGGTGTCATTGCATACAAACATGAGGTACAATTTAGTAATACAATAATATAGGAAAAGTTTAAATGTTGATCAAATTTATTCAGATGTTAATTTATTTGAATTTCAGTTTTGGATGGAAAAACATGAAAAATCCGTGAGTTAAACCATTATGTATGTTACACTCTATTGGCTTGTGCATTCCACTAGCTCTTCAGTAAATTTCAGTCTCTTTCACTATCAACTTCTTTAAGGAATGAAGCAAATCTAAACTCAAATTCCTGGTTAAATCTTCAGGTTATAAAAGTTATGAGTTCTGTTAACAAAAAACACCCCAAAGTTTTCTCTCCTACAAGAAAAAAGTAAAATATTTATTGGCTTGTTTGTTTGAGGCTTAATAACTCAGGATATAAATTACCTTGTTCCCGTAGGGTTTTTCATTTGATATTGCAGTGCAATAAACAGACATCAGGTATTTTCCTCTGAGTACAGCATGATGATTGGTGTAAAAAATTTAAACTCTAAAACGGAGATTATGGAGAGAAGTCTGAATTTGGCTAGAAAAAAATGCAAAAGCAAATATTCATTGTGGTGGATTGAAACTTCAAAACCTGAGGTTGCTCTGCATCTCAACAACTGTTTGAAATATTTGTAGAGTTTTTTTCTAGCAAATCTGAGCCACTGCATACACCACACACTCCCTTATCAATTATGGTATTGTCTTGCAATGTTTCATCCTATCTATTTTACTTTTTAAGGAATTATTAGCTTATCAGGTTTAACCCAGCTAAATAAATGCTAGTCATCTAAGTTAAATGGTGTTCAGCAATAAAGAAAAGTTTCAGGGACACTGGGATAGATTTTTTTTCTGTTTCTGTGAGTTTACCTGTTCAATGAAATAATTAACCATTATAAAGTAATGCAACAATTGGTCAGACTCCAGAAGTACATATTTTCCAAAAAGAATCAATTCTGCCCCATCATTGTAATGTAGGAACTTATTGCACTGATTTTTACTTAAGACACCTCTTCCCCAGGTTACTGGAGTACATTAAATCCATTGTCTTAGTTGTTATAAGCAAAATGTGGTGTTAGTTATGTTATCCTTCCTGTTCTCAAAATCTCCTCTGAAGGAGTGTAACCCCTCCAGAGCTGGTTTTAGGGAAGAGGACCATTGGATTTAGCCCAGCAGAAAGGGATGATTGGAATCCTGTATTTACTCTGTATTTTTAATTTCTGTTTTGATTGGATTTGATTTTTAGCAATGTGCCCAAAGAAATTTTGAACTGGAAGATTTTTAGAATATATCTTATTTCAAATTATGAACATTTTGAAATAATACATTTCTAGGTAGGATTTCAAAAGTAGATACAAATTATAGTACATATAAATAAAATACTAATTAGCAAAATTAGAACTGACTAGTAATAAATATTTTCTTATTTCATGGGGAGGATAACAACCTTTCTGTTTTGCATATTTGTATAGTATACTCTTCGATGTGATATGCGGCGCTCTCTCCTGGCCAAGGATTTGACAAAATCTTGTGAATTTATTGTCCATTCACCAGTAAGTTTGCTCTTAGGAATTAATTACTAGAGACTTGTGAATATATTTACTCATTTAGTTGTACTTGGACTGTACAGAAAAGTCTCAGAGGAGCTCATATGAAATTAATGCAATTAAGCATATCTGTAGCTATTTTTTCTCTGTAGAATGAAATGTATGTGCATGCACAAGCTTGAGCATCTTATGTTAAATATTGCCTTGATCCCAGTGAATGTGAATCTCCAGTGGTGGGAAGGATACTGTGACAGAGAAGGTATGCCTCCTGGGCTATAAAATGGCATTGCTTTGAAGTTGGGAGTATGCCCACTCTGTTGAATCTTAAAGGGTGGGCAGAAACAATAGGAAACTAATTAATGAAGCTTGCGCAGCAGAGGTATTTCATCAGCCTACACAGCACACCCATAACTGCCCATGCTGTTACATTCTGGACAAGCTGCAGCTTCTGAGTGGTCTTTAAAAGCAGTGTCATGTAGAGTACATTGAAATAGTTCATACACGAGGTGACTAAAGCAGGAATAACTGTGAGAAGGAACTCTGAGTCCAGGAAGGGGCATAGCACATCAAACGAATCTGGTAAAGTTTTCCTGGCCACAGCTGTCACTTGCACACCAATTCTCCAAGTAGTGCTCCATTAAGAACTAAAGTAGTGCTCCATTAAGAACTAAAGGCAAAAATCCACAGCACTAAACAAACGAGGAACACACAGCTACTTGGTCTTGTCAGGACTGAATCTAATCTGTTCCTCCCTATCCAGACCCCAACAGCCTTCAGGCACTGAGACAAGACCTTAACGGCAGCACTTGGCCAACCGAGGTTGATACACACAGCTGGGTATTATCAGCATGCTGATAATACCTGCCTTGATAGATGATCTCACCTAGATGCTTTTTGTAGAAGTTAAGCAGAAAGGGTGAAAATATCAAAACCTATGGCAACCCACAAGTCAGGGCCTCAGGTTTAACCACCACCACCTCTGTCAATACCAACTGAAACTTGCTATGGCGAAAAGGAGAGAACCACTGCAACACCATGCCTCCCCATCCTAATCCTCACAGTCAGGATCTCTTCAGGATCTCATCAACTTCTTCCAATCATGACTTTTTCAGTCTCCCTATTCACTCTTTTTTCATACAGTTGTTTCATAGTTTGATCCCCATTCATCGTCTCTACTGTTTATGATCAAGCCATGTCAATGTACTTCTTTCATACCAATCACTTTTGGTATGATCATCCATGGTCATTTCGCATTCATTCATTTTTAACTTTATCTCTTCTTGCTTTAGCATACATTTTTTAAAATATCTCATTCTGCCTGCATTCAGCTTACTTTTTAGAGCAGAAGCACAAGCTTTACACGCCTATTTGTACTTTTAACATTTTTTCAACATTTATTCCTTACAGCAGGTGACACACTCCTGTACCAGAATTTGCATGACACAAAATTATATATACAGTGGTACCTCGGTTCATGAACGCTTCTGTTCACAAACAATTCGGTTCACTAACAGCTCCGTTCGCGAACGCCGGATCGGGTTACGAACAGAATCCGCGGCCATTTTCCCTCCCGTGACAT